GCTGAACATGGTAGAAAATAGAGGGTGTAGGAATTAGCAGCATACTTTGACATGAATTTCGGGTTAAAAAACTTACTTGAAATGATGAATTCCATGATCTTTTATGTGGTTGAATCATCTTACATTTCAAAACTCCAAAATCTGCATTTTCTTGTTCTTCAATGGTCCTAATCTTGATCACAATGGAAGGGGATTATTATCTACAATTTAAGTGTCATTTTTTGTGATATTTTATGTCAAAAATATGGTTCTAGGGACTTTCTAATTTTGGTGTAAACTTCCATACGAATTTTCACCATTTTTTCATACCATCCTTTTTGTCTCCTTTTTTTTTTGCAACTCCTATATGGAGGTTGCAAATAGTTATCTTGGGAGTTGTAGGCAATTGGGGAAGTTATGGATTTAAAATTCATTCAAAACATTCCCTCCTAACACTTTTAAAATCTTGCAGGTCTAGTCACCCCATATGGGAATCCTATTACCCGTATTTTCCAATAGACGGATACAGATAACTTGCTGGAATTGGCATCAAGTTTATGAAGCACGATGAATTATGCGACCAGCAAGCTGATATGCTCACGGATATTTGGAAATAATGTAGTGATCAGGGTGGAGTCAAAAGTGATCTGGTGTAATCCGAGAGAATAATGGTAATGTGGTAGCTGCCACGACGAAGTTTTTGAATACCACTTTGTCTTCGACAGGGCTGGTCCTGTGGCAAGGAGGATGGGGCCTACGGCCGATGGGGGCTTATTTTTTGTCCAAACTTTTTTTTTTAATTCTTAAAGGAAGAAAAGGGAAAATCTGTTTTCATTCTTACCTCCGTCCCATCTCTGCTCGACCTCGACGTTGTCATGCTGAGACATTGACGTAACGACTCCTCCAACTCCAACCGGATCGGAGACTCCTCATTTCCTGTAGCCCGAAGCTTTCTGTCACTAAAACACCACTGGTACAATCTTTCGTAAATATCAACTCATTCTTGTGATTTGTTAAGATTTTTGTTTCGTGGGATTTTGGAAAATGCTGATAATTCTAGCTTATTGCTTGTAATTCTCTCTCCGAAGTTTAGAAGAGTATATTTAGATTCAAGGAAACTACGTTGTTTTGGTCTATTTTATTGAGCATTGAGTGTGGCTTGGAGGTCTTATTGTTAAAAAAAAAAGGAGGGGTCATGGTTGAAGAGTTCGAAATGGAGCGGGTCTTCCATAACAGCTTTTCTTTAGAGGAAGAAGAGTGGTGGTAATGTAATTGACTAACTACTAAAAACATAAGCAAGGAGGTGAATTTCAAGCAGAAAAATATAAGGTATTGTTGTGTGTGGTCATACTTGGCCAATTCACCTGGGCTATTATGGCCCATTTAGGGCGATCCACGTGGCATTCCAGCCAAGGTGGCATAGATTGCCGAGGTGGGATGCTCCGAGGCCTTCAAGCTGAAGTCCACTAGCCGAGGCTCCTTTTTACCGAGGCCTATAAACGTACCTGAAGTCCACATGCCGAAGCCTATGAACCGAAGCCATGATGCTGAAGCCAATTGAAGATAGCTGAAGCCCTCAAGCGGAAGAATCGTGTGAAATGGCCGAAGCCCCGAAGCAGACGCAGGAGCCTCCGAACCACGAAGGAGTGTCCTCCATGTTCACTTCTCCCAAGAGATCGTCTGCATAAAGATCTTATTCGAATGATTGATGGAACGTTTGTCATAAGCATAAAGGTCAAGTCTTGTCACTAGTATGGAGGCCCTGCACAAAGCAATAAATGCGCAGCAAGCTAGCAAGTCAAGCCCCATGCCTAGGATGGGATGTTTGAATTAAAGAGATGAGGCCACGTGCCACCTCATCCAAGGGCTCCCATTTCACATGTATCATTATAAATACTTCCCTTGTGTAACATCAAAAGGCTAATGCAAGAATCAATACAAAGAACTATACTTTACTCAACTCTCTCATTTACTTACAATACACAAATCGAGTTTATACACATTTACACATACATTTACGAACACCGGTTGGTAATTATCGTACAATCGAATCACGAACAACTCGTCGAATTCCGAACGTCATTGTCCCGCGTCGTTGGTCTACTCCCACGCCCTTGGAACTGCTCATTTTAGACCGTCTACGTGTCTTAGCGTGTTGGACATTCGCCCACGTGTGCGCGGTGGGACCGATATCTGTTGGCAATACTTTTTGGGGTCAACAGATTGGCGCCGTCTGTGAGAAACCATACCATAATCACGAGCAACCCTGTGGTAAAAGCTTACTGAAAGGACATTTGGACAATCCCCCTTGAAAAATGATTTGTTCTTGGAAGAGAACAGGAGGAAGCCCCGTTACATGGAGAAATCTGAAATCGGACAAAGGAAAATGAGCTCCAATGAAGATACTCCTCCCAGGAGAGTAAGAGAAAACACGAACGCGCATCCCCAGCCTGCTACCCCAGCAGCTCGACAGAGACTCCACCACCACCAAAGAAGAGGTGGGATGCGTGCGACGGCACGATTATCAAGAGAAATGGCCGCCATGGCGGCTAACATGAGGGATATCGCTAGTCAAAATTTGGCTATGAGGAAGCTTATGGCCCAAATGCAGGGCCAGGGAGGCTTCCCCATTCCTCCATATGCCCCCCAAGGGCACTACCAGCAAGAGGATGAAGTCCAAAGTCATAGAACTGCTACACCAGACTATGGCCGAGGTAAGAGCCCCTTTGAAAGGGAAGTGGAAGTTGATGTTTCCTCCAAGTATGCTTCTGGCCGACCCTCCGAGGTCCAAATGAGCTATGATAATTTCCCACATCCGTTTGAGCAAGACCCAAGACATAGGAGGGTAGGAAGTGTTTTCGACAGATTCAGCCCAGCCGAACCGAGGCAAAGTCAACAGCAAGCTTAGCAACCTTGGACAAGGCCGCTTCCTCCACCTACATTCCCCCAGCAGGCGGAAAGAAGGCAAAAAAATGCCCCCCGAGTTGCTCCGCCTAGAAATAGGCGGCAAAGGAGAGACGAAGAGGCTAGGGATCTCCCCAGGACCTCTCACCAATAACTGAGGCACGAGATTGATGAGTACGACTCTAACGAACAGCAGAGGTCCTGCGACTTGGACGACGACGATGAGAACCTACCATTCTCAAGGGAACTAAGCAATGCCCGGGTCTCGAGCCACCATGCTATGCCAAAAATACCGAAGTATGACGGAAGAGGTGACCCGGAAAAGCATCTGAATGCTTATAAAACCCACATGAGCCTAAAGGGCGCAACCCCAGCCGTGAAGTGCAGAGCCTTCCATTTAACACTTAGTGGAGCTGCTGAAATTTGGTACAGTAGATTGCCACCTGGGAGCATTAGAAGCTGGCCCGAGCTCAAGACAACGTTCTTGAAGAGGTTCGCGGTAAGTAAAGAAGGAGAAGCCCCCATCCAACGTCTCCAGGACATGAGGCAAGCACATGGGTAGTCCCTAAAGAGCTTCTCATCATGTTTCACCAACGAGATGACATATTGCGTACAAGTCAGCGATTGAGAGGCACTATCCGCACTAAGGGGAGGTCTGAACATGAATACCTTATTCTGGAGAGATGTGCAGAATCAAGACCCCACCACCTATTACGCCCTACTCGAAATGATGAGAAGGGAGATCATCAATGAAAAATTGATTGAGCATAGGAACAGGGCAAATAGAGGCCTCCCGCCTCCTCAAAGACAGCGAGGTAGGGGCCCGACCTCCCACATGATGGGCTACCAGATAAACCAGGCTGGAAATGAGAACTCTGGTCAAGCACTTGCCACCACCACTTTGAATGCGGTTCCCACCTTGGCATATGAAGATGTCAATCCAATAACTGACCCCCATCAGATGGGGGGTCAGGAGATGCCCCGTCGGGGGAGAGGCCGAGGTCGAGGCTCTGGACCTAGAAATAGGTCAAACCCGAACCCCCAAGATACTGTGTACACCACAGGTCCTACGGACATAACACAGCAGATTGTAGAGACTATGCACAACGTTCCCGGCAGGAACCTATTAGAGACAGACATGATTCGCCCCAGGTGAACAGGCCTTCGCCCAAGCACGACAACCAGCGTGGGCGTGAGGAGGCCGTTCCTCGTCAAAGGGATGTATCCCCACGGCGAAGGAAGCATGATGCAGAGAGGCCCAGGGAAGAGTGTAGACACCAAAGAAATCGGCAAGCTAGAGATGAAGCCCCTATCCACGAGGTGGACACCATATTTGGAGGCCCGTATGTTGGCGGCGAAATGCGAAACGCCAAAAGGAACTATGTCCGGGAGGCTAAACGCCCCCCTTTGACAAGCTACATCGTGGGTAGCAGCTCCTGAAGAAACCAGGTCCCACCCATTGTATTTTCCCAGGAAGACGAAGAGGGAGTTCATTACCCCCACTGCGATGCACTTGTGGTGAGGGCTGTCATAGCCAGGAATGGGCTCAAACGAATGTTGGTTGACAATGGCAGCTCCGTCAACATTCTATTCGGATCCGCCTTTGATAAAATGATATTGGATCATCAGCTGACGCCCACCATCACTCCATTGTACGGATTTACCGAAGATAGCATCACTCCGAAAGGAAAGATAACACTAGCAGTGGAGATGGGGGAATCACCACGAACAACGACGAACTTCATGGAGTTCCTCATTGTTGACAGCAGGTCGGCCTACCATGGGGTGTTGGGCAGACCAGCCCTGAAGGAACTGGGAGCAGTCACCTCCATCCACCACCTGTGCATGAAATTTCCAATTGAAAATGGGATGGCAACGGTGAGAGGTGACCAAAGAGGCTCGAGAGAATGCTATCTAAGCTCCATTAAGAAGGCAGAGCCTCGGGACATCCATGTAGTCATAGCTGATGTGGTCATGGCTGACGTCCTAGGTGATGCTCTCACCGAACAAGAAGATGTTGATATGATCGATGCACCACCTAATGCAGAGGTGCTGGTCATCGATGAAATTGACCCCCGCATCATGGAACACGAGCCTCAGGCATCTCCAGTAAAGGAACTTGAGAGCTTCTCAGTAGACCCCCGAGACCCATCAAAGGTGTTGAAGGTAGGCAAATGCCTAGCCAACATTTTGAAGGAAAAGATTAAGGATTTCCTGAGCAAGAATCTTGATGTCTTTGCCTGGAAGTATGAGGACATGGTAGGCATAGACCCCAAGGTCAGCTGCCACCACCTAAAAATTGATCCCAAGGTCGCCCCGCATAGACAAAAAAGGAGAGCTCTCAACCCTGAAAGGTATGAGGCCCTAAAGGAAGAAGTTCAGAAGCTCATCCAAAACGGCTTCATCCGAAAGGCAACCTACCCTAGATGGGTCTCCAACCCGATTTTGGTAAGGAAAAACAACGGCAAGTGGAGGGTGTGCATTGACTTCACCAACCTCAATAGAGCTTGTCCGAAAGATAGTTTTCCACTCCTAAGGATTGACCAACTAGTGGATTCCACTACTGGCCATGAGTTGTTGAGCTTCATGGACGCGTACTCCGACTACAACCAAATCCCCATGCACCCGACCGATGAAGAGCACACCTCTTTCATTACGGACCGAGGCCTCTATTATTATAGAATGATGCCCTTCGGGTTGAAAAACGCCGGAGCAACCTACCAAAGACTCGTAAACAAGATGTTTGTGGATCTCATCAGCAAAACAATGGAGGTCTACGTGAACGACATGCTAGTAAAAAGTTTGGAGGCCGAAGACCACATAAAGCACCTCAACAGCACTTTTCAGATCCTAAGAAGATATAGGATGAGGCTCAACCCCCACAAGTGCGCCTTCGGGGTAGCCTCCGGCAAGTTCTTGGGGTACACGGTCAACCAACGAGGAATTGAGGCCAATCCCGAGAAGATTGAAGCTTTGTGCAAGATGAGGTCCCCCCAAAAGTCGAAGGAGGTGCAAAGTCTCACCGGGCGAGTAGCCGCACTTAGCCGCTTTGTGTCCAAAGCTACGGACAAATGCCTCCCCTTTTTCAAAGTACTGAAAGCTGGGAAGAAATTCTAGTGGACCGAGGAATGTGAAGAGGCTTTCCAATGCTTGAAAAAGCACTTGGGGCAAGCCCCCCTCCTTTCCAAACCTAAGCCCAATGATATCCTACAACTATATTTGGCCGTCTCTAATGAGGCCATTAGCTCGGTTCTGATACGGAAAGAAGGGTCTACCCAACTCCCCGTGTACTACACAAGTAAAGCTCTCCTATCGCCGGAAACCTGTTACCCCGGTATGGAGAAGCTCGCTTTGGCTTTGATCACGGCCTCTAGGAAATTGAGACCCTACTTCCAAGCTCACACCGTCCATGTACTGACAAATTTTTCCCTGAGGCAGGTACTCCAAAAGCCTGACGCCTCAGGAAAGTTATTGAAATGGGCAGTAGAACTCAGTGAATTTGACCTTGTATTCAAGGCTAGGGCAGCCATAAAAGGGCAAGCCTTGGCTGACTTTGTGGCCGAATTTGCCAACCTACCCGAGGTGGACGAAATCATGGAACCTATCGAACCCCCCACGTGGAATCTTTTCATTGATGGGTCAGCTGGGGAAGTTGGCTCCAGGGCTAGGGTTGTTCTCATCAGCCCCGAAGGTCACAAGCTCACCTCGGCGGTGAGGTTCGGATTCAAAGCTACCAATAACGTAGCAGAGTATGAGGCACTTCTTGCAGGCCTCAGGCTGGCCACCGAAATGCAAGTAAAGAGGCTGCTCATCAGTAGTGACTCCCAACTAGTTGTTAGCCAAGTCAACGGTAACTTCTCAGCCAAAGACAAAATGATGGCCTCCTACCTGAAAATGGTGATGAATCTCATCCCATCCTTCTAAAAGTTTGAGTTGATCCAGATCCCTCGCATCGAAAATGCACATGTTGATGCACTATCAAAGCTAGCTAGCAGCAAGGACTCAGAGCTACTCACAGTAGTACCTATTGAGTACCTCCTCCTACCTTCGATCGAGGCCCCAACAGTAATGTGGGTCGTTGGGACTCCCGCTTGGATGCAACCAATCGTAGCATACCTCAAAGACCAGGCACTGCCAACTGACAAGAATGAGGCTTACAAGCTAAGAAGGAGGTCAGCCCACTTCCTTTTAATTGATGACATTCTCTACAAAAGAAGCTTCTCCTCCCCACTCCTGCAGTGTGTCGGAGGAGAAAAGGCTACCTACATATTGAGGGAAGTCCACGAGGGCGTATGCGGTAACCACTCCGGAGGGCTGTCTCTGGCATAGAAAATATTGAGGCAGGGGTACTACTGGCCCACACTAAAGCAGGACGCCCTCGAGTTTGTACGAAAGTGCGATAAATGCGAGCGCTTCTCTCCGGTGCAGCGACAACCATCTCAGGAGTTGACCACCGTCTCTAGCCCCTGGCCTTTCTCAAAATGGGGTGTGGACCTCATAGGTTCCCTACCTAAGAGTAGAGGAGGGGCAAGTTTTGCAATTGTGGCTATTGATTACTTCACGAAGTGGGTCGAAGCCGAACCACTGGAAAAAATCACTGAAGCCAACAACTCCAAGTTCTTATGGAAAAATATTATTTGCCGGTTCGGGATTCCCCACTCAATCGTCTCAGACAATGGCAGACAGTTTGACAACAAGAAGGTTAGAGAATTATGCGAAGGGCTCGGCATAAAGAAGCGCTTCTCCACACCTCACCACCCACAAGCAAACGGCCAAGTCGAGGCCGTGAACAAGACGATTAAGCACGTCTTGAAAAGAAAGCTGGATGTATCATAAAGGGCCTGGGTTGATGAGCTGCCCCAAGTCCTTTGGGCGATCCAAACCACCACCAGGACCCCAACAGGAGAAACACCCTTCCTCATGGCATTCGGGACTGAGGCTATGAGCCCCGTGGAAGTCGGACTTCCATCCCCAAGACGTCTTCACTTCAGCGAGATAACTAACGACGAGCTCCGGAGGCTCGACCTCGACTTCATCGAAGAAAGAAGAGATGACTCCTAAGTGAAGCTCGGCACATATCAGAGAAAGATGACAAGGTATTTCAACTCGAAAGTCAAGAAGAGGTCATTCCGAATCAACGACCTTGTACTTAGGAGGGTCTTCGTTTCCTCAAGAGAACCTGGTTCCGGTTTCCTTGGCCCAAACTGGGAGGGTCCATACAAAATCAGAGAAGAAGTCCGACCTGGGACTTACTGGATTGAAGACATAAATGGCAAGGCACAACCCCGACCATGGAACATTGAACACCTCAAAATCTACTACCAATAAATGTACTATCTTGCTGGACGACCTTTCCCAGCCCTTGTAACATTTCTGTAGTTCAATAAAATTTAGTGATTAAATTAACGTGTTGAACCACCTCGTAACCTCGGAGGAGAGGCTCGCGTCCCACCTCTGGACCACCTCGCTGGGACTCCGAGGCTCTGGCACATGCCTCCCTTTGGCCAAAACAAACAAAACGCCAAAGGGAGAAGCTTCGACATTGCTGCACCACCACCGTGGCTAGGATGCATCGTCACCTCGGATGAGAGGTTCGTACCCCACGTTTGGGCCACCTCGATCGAACTCCGAGGCTATAGCACGTGTCTCCCTATGGCTGGACTAAATGCCAAGGAAGCCACCTCACGTGTAATAAGTCCGAGGCTCAAACAGTTGTCAAAAGTTCATTTGTTTAAGTTCATTTGCTTATGTCCGAGGTTCATTTGCTTAAGTAAAGTTCATTTGCTTATGTCCGAGGTTCATTCACTTGAGTCCGAGGCTCAAACAGTTATCAAAAGTTCATTTGTTTACAAAAGTTCATTTGTTTAAGTTCATTCGCTTATGTCCGAAGTTCATTTGCTTAAGTCCGAGGCGCGTACACTTGAAAGAAACAACAATGAATGAAACAGGCACTTTATTGATCTTCAATAAGGATTACAAAAGTGGGCCTTACGCCATTACATTCAAAAAACTGAAAAGAAAACTAATCTAAGCTTCGGTAGATGGAGGAGGTGCTTCAGTACTTGGGGCTTCGGCAGCTTGAGCATCGGTATTTGTCTCCCCTACCTCAGCTGCTTCATCACCCTGCACCTCCTCAGCAGGGGTCTGAGGTACCTCATCCACAAATTCAAACCTGAGTTGAGTCAGATCCAAATTGGGATACATTTCCTCTGCCCGCTCCATCACCTCAGCATAGGCAAAGTTTCTCCAGTGAGCACTAAAGCTCTTATACTCCTCCGTGTTATGGAAGTTGGCGACGTACTCCTGCACCGCCTCTTCCCTCGCCGGTTGAGCCTCCTCTCTGGCGTGGGATGCATCATCCACATACCACTTGATTTGGGTTTCCAAGAAGTGATAAGCATCCTGGGCACCCACCAAAGAGAGATTGGTCTTCTCTAGGGCCTCAGCAGTCGCCTTCTGGTGCTCATTGGAGACTTCCACCTTCTTTGTTAGGGAGGCCACCTCGCACTGTGACTCATGAACTTCCTTCTTCAAAGCCTCAATCTGGGCCAAGGCAGACTCAAGCTTGGCCATTTCTTCAAGTTTTTGGGCCCTGGCTTCCTCCGCCTCGGCCCTAGCCGCCTTAACCTCTTCTGCAAGGGAGGCCGTCTTCTCCTCTGAAGATCTGGTTCTTGATTGAAAATCACTTAGGGCCTCCCTGCATTCAAGAGTGAGGCCAAAAGTTCTGACACTTTGGCTCATCAACGCCCTAGTCAGGTCGGATACGTCACTAGAGGAGGCATGCAGTTGCCACCTGTCAGTCCAGAACCTGTAAAAGTTCTCAGTGGCGCTTCGAACCTCCTCTGGAAGAGCTTCCAACAAGGCTGGGGCCAAGGTCTCCTCCCTTCCAGCTAGGAAGCTTGGAGACTTCCCCTTTTCCCGAGCAGGTTTTTGTTTAGCCGCCTCCTCCTCGGCAGCCTCTGCAACTCTCCTCGCTGCCTCCTCCCTAGCCTTCTCAGCCTCAGCCTACTTGACCATTTCTAATTTGATGGCTTTGGAGGCAGATGCGAGCAGCTTCGGCTCGCCTGTGGATTTGGCCTCATGAGACACTAATGTCCCAAATTTCCCGGACGAGCTGGTAACGTGCACCAACTTCCTCCTCTTCACCTCCTCTGGGACCTTCTCTTTGCCCCGAGGCTCTTTTGGCCTCTCCTGCCTTTGGGAAGCTCCCTCTTCAGGAGCCTTTGGAGTACTGTCCTTGGAAAGGCGTTCCACCTTGCCTCGGACCTCCTTGGCCTCACTTGACTCCGGCTTCAAGGCCCTAGCCTTGGAGGTGGTGGTGGCCTTTAGAATCGTGACCATATCTGGAGCTGGGTACTCCTTCCTTTTGAATTTATCTGCAAAACAACATCAGGTCAGCACGTCAGTATCTAATCAAACGAACAAGGAAATTTACAACTGTGGGAAGCCTCATACCTCTGGATGCCATCAATCCAAAGTCCAGGAAATAGCGACTCCTGTCAATTAGATGGTCAAAATGCCGGAGCTTCAGAGGCCTCTTGTAGATATCCTCTATCACCTCGAACTCCTCCCTGCTGAGCTCGAACCTCGTACTACAATCTGCAATAGAAGCCCCAACAGTTAGAAAATTTCTAAGTGTTCAATTTAGAAGTACAAGCAGGGCTGGGAGACTCACGAGCTTCGTAGTACTGGGTCGGCACTGTGCAAGAAAGGGCCTTGTCCCCCTCCACTGTCTGCCATTTTTCTCGCACCCAGAATCAGGACTCCTTCCACCTCTTAATGGAGGAAGGCAGTCCTACCACAAAGGGTGTGTGAGCCCCCCAAGGTGTAATATAATACCACCCCCTAGACTCCTTCCCTATGATCTGGGGCTAGAAGAAAGTCATGAATACATGGAGAGGCATGTCCTCCCCAAGTGACACCTCCTTCCACAGGAAGTATGAGCCGACCAACTGGCTCCACCCATTTGGCAAAACCTGGGTCGGCGACAACATAAAATTCCTCAGCACCGCCCTAAAGAAAGGGTGCAGAGGAGGACGCATACCTACCTTAAACAGGTATTCACTGACAGCCACGCATCCAGACCTCGGATAGCAAGCTAGCTCATTTGGTTTGGGAACTAGCATCTCTATGGATTGGGGAACACTGTATCTCTCCCTGATCTCCCCTAACCTCTTCCACGTCATACTTGAGGGCACCCTAGACGCCCCCCACTCTTCAGTATAGTCTACTAGGTCTTCGGTCATGGCATAACTATCAGCCTCGGCATCCCCCCTCTGACTGACCCCATAATCTAACGACGCCACCATCACCAACTCCCTACCCGAGGTGGACTCCATCTCACAGAATTAACAACAAAAATAAGGTTTTCCTGCGAATGATACCTAAGGGAAGAACACTACGAACGGAGTTAGGCCGAAAAATCAAAAAACGGGCTGCCTTGATGCCAAAAATTTCAGAAATTTGTGAGAGAATCAAATTGCAAAGTTTCAAAAGTCCTAAAAAATGGGATTTTCTCACCTTTTATAGAGGTCCAGGACGAACCCTAGCCATCAGATCGAACCTCAGTCAATCTAAGCCCTTCATTGTAGATCAAATCCGAGGCGTTGAATTCAAATGATTTTTCAAACCTACGCCTCAGATTCAAACGTGCTTCCCACGCGCCCCATCGAACGCGTCTGCTTCTAGAAGCTCCAGCTGCCATCATAATTTTATTTTTAATTTGACGGCAGCAGGCGCCTTAGAAGTCGTAACGGTTCAGCCACCTTTCCTCGAAAACAAGCACAAAACATCAAATCATTGGCACAGCTATCAAGGCACAATCATTACCGTTGAACATCGGCTTCTTCTTCAACATTCAGCCATCAAACCTCGCAGGTTTGGTCTCCCAGCCACCTCGGCTTCGTCTTCAACATTCATCCATCAAGCCTCGCAGGTTCGACTCCCAACCACCTCGGCTTCGTCTTCAACATTTAGCCATCAACCCTCGCAGGTTCGGTCCCCAAGCACCTCGACTTCTTCTTCAACATTCATCCGTCAAACCTCGCAGGTTCAGTTCCCAAGCACCTCAGCTTCTCCTTCAACATTTGGGGTTCAAAAATTCTTTCAATTTTTACTTCATTAAAGTCCACGCATTACATGAATGACCATACTTGGACTTGGGGGACTATTGTTGTGTGTGGTCATACTTGGCCAATTCCCTGGGCCATTATGGCCCACTCAGGGCGATCCACGTGGCATTTCAGCCAAGGTGGCATAGATTGCCGAGGTGGGATGCTCCGAGGCCTTCAAGCCGAAGTCTACTAGCCAAGGCTCCTTTTTACCGAGGCCTGTAAAACGTATCTGAAGTCCACATGCCGAAGCCCATGAACCGAAGCCATGATGCTGAAGCCAGTTGAAGATAGCTGAAACCCTCAAGCGGAAGTATCGTGTAAAATGGCCGAAGCCCCGAAGCAGACGCAGGAGCCTTCGAACCACGAAGGAGTGTCTCCATGTTCACTTCTCGCAAGAGATCGTCTGCATAAAGATCTTATTCGAATGATTGATGGAATGTTTGTCATAAGCATAAAGGTCAAGTCTTGTCACTAGTATGGAGGCCTTGCACAAAGCAATAAATGCGCAGCAAGCTAGCAGGTCAAGCCCCATGCGTAGGATGGGATGTTTGAATTAAAGAGATGAGGCCACGTGCCACCTCATCCAAAGGCTCTCATTTCACATGTATCACTATAAATACTTCCCTTGTGTAACATCAAAAGACTAATGCAAGAATCAATACAAAGAACTATACTTTACTCGACTCTTTCATTTACTTACAATACACAAATCGAGTTTATACACATTTACACATACATTTACGAACACCGGTTGGTAATTATCGTACAATCGGATCACGAACAACTCGTCGAATTCCGAATGTCACTGTCCCGCGTCGTTGGGCTACTCCCACGCCCTTAAAATTGCTCATTTTAGACCGTCTACGTGTCTTGGTGTGTTGGACATTCGCCCACGTGTGCGCGGTGGGAGCGGCATATGTTGGTAATACTTTTTGGGGTCAACAGGTATAGTATTAGGTTCACGTAATTTCTTAATTGTAATGGTTATAAAAATTTTAGATGTGGTTGTTGTGTCTGATTTCTGTTTATTAGACAATACTAGGCTCCTTTTCACCCATAAAAAATTCTCAATTTTATTATCTGATGTGGATTTTTTATTTTGCAGCAAACTTCGTCAGCCCAGTACATATTGCAACAGTATACAACTGCATTAGGAGGCCAAAAACTTTAGAATTCGATTAAGAATGCTTATGCAATGAAAAGTTAAAAATGGTAGCTTCGGAGTTTGAAACTGCGACAAAAGGTAGTGAAGAACAAGAATGTGGCTAGAGCTGCAGAGTCCAATGGGTTTGTTCTCTGGCAGAATGAATCTTGACATGTGGTATGTAGAGTTTGCAGTTGGGGGGAGCAAAGTCCATGCTAGCCGCAACGATAAACTCGTCTGGAGGCATATACCTGGGCTCCGTGCACACATTGTATGGGAGCTAGTTAGGCCTCTGCGCCGTGCTCTTCATGTTAAGATGCGCTTGAATCATTTATGATGACCCGCCTTTGCGAAATTTTTCTTTGCTGGCCTGATCTTGTGTAGACTTAGTACAGTAATGTACTTTGCAGGGTCTTGATCCCAAAACCATTGCCAGCATCTTTTCCAACGCCATTTGCATTGGTGAGAATAAGATCAATGGAGATGCTGCTTCATTCTGAAGCTCTCTGCCGATCCACAAACATTGGGAGCCAAGAGTGAGGACCACTTGAGATCATAAGGAATGTTTTGTTTGTTGCTTTAATATTAAATTTTAAATTAGCAATATGTTGCATAATACATATTTTGGGGTAATTTATGGATTTCTCCTTGGCCCCAACAATCACAGGATCGTCCTTGGTCTCCAAAAGATGCTGAGGCTATTGCGTTATGGTAAGTCCTGGTGTTGCCATAATACCCATACCAAGTTTGCTTCATTTGCTACTACTGTCCTACTGTTAATATAATAAAAAATTTCCATCTTTCCTAAAGGAGATCAAAGGATTACACCCTCGCTCCAAGAAGGGTTTCAAAGAATTTTTTTTTTTTTTTACTGGGCAGCAGGACTTGTGGAGAACAATTACAGGGTAATTACAAGATTTCTCAATTACATTTTTATTCGAAATCTATCGAGAATGCCCTCTGCAATATAATCATCAGTAGGATACATATACTGTGATTATAAATTATTGTTCTGATTAAAGGTTTGATGATCTTCAAGATGGATTTTATGTTAGAAGTCAATCTGTCGCTTTCCACCTTTTTAGTCCTGAAATTTGCCTAAGTGTTGATTTTTCAGATTATGAAAAATAGCCAGTTGATCATGTTCTGTCTAATTATAAATTTATATATCTAGTAAATTAGGATCAGACTCCCTAATCTTTCACGTAGAGTGGTTATGGATCATCAACTTCACAAGTGAGGTTTTTCCCATTGTATTTAAATTTGTGAATTTGAAGCTAAAGTCATTGAAACCATCAATATTGGCATTAAAATCTACAAAATTACCAAATCATTTAAGTTTTACCTTCAATTCAACTAAAAGACACATGCAACTTTAACATCATGATTTTCATCACATGAGAATCCAAATTCATATATTCAAATAGGTTTCAAAACCTCACTTTAAAGGTTAAGGACCTATAATCACACCATATGAAGCTAATCTCCAAATTACACTCATATTTCAACATTATTTAAGTTGAATCATTAAGAGCAACAACTTCAACAAAAGAGCTAAACGTCCATTTTCATGAACACTTCTCATCTAGTTTTGTGTTTTGTCTTGTGAATTTCGCAAAAAGTTGTCGATCGATAAAATAACAATCTTTATTCACTGGTTTTATGGATTCACCTGATGAAACAAAAAGTTCTGATCATCAGTTTTTTTGGAGTGAAAATTTTATATGAACAAGCCAAGAATAGCAAAAGTTGGGTATTGGCGCACATAACATAAAATAAAATTCAAATCAAGAAGTGTATGATAAAAATCTTGGACATAAGCAACGATTTGAAAACCCTCAAGATGCTAGTTAACAGTCTAATGCAGTGGCAATGATCGAAATATAAGACCACCTGCACTGTCCATCGTAAAAACCCTCTGGCTGGAAAATTGCAGCGCATTGGCATTGCTTCTAGATGGTCCTGGAAACCGAAGGCTCTGTGACTGGCAGGTCTTTGCCTCTACCACCACTAATGGACCTGTTCCTATTAACAAATCAAGAATCAAGATCTGGTTTCCATAATCTCATGAAGACAATTAGGCCCAGTCGTTCCAATATACCATTACGACTAAGATATAGGCATATAAAGGTCAAAACTTAACTCGATGTCGTGTGCAATTTGCAATTGACGAGGCAAAATCGAAAGAAAGATATCAATAAGTACTCATGACAAGCATCAACATGAGGAACATAGCTGAAAAACGCACCATTACTACACAGAAACAGTAGAGAGCCTGGTATAAATTGTAATGATATGAAATAATATTACATAATTTTATCATTTTCAAGCAAGTATACATTGCATGATTCAGAAAATAGGCAAAGGTAAACCAAGTGTGAGAAACAGAAAGGTGAAAGAGAGAAAACTGCTGCATAATTATAGTTTTGACGGTATTTACAATTTACTGGTACGCTAATATGTAAAGTTCTTGATCAAATCTTACATGGAAAGCAATGAACTTCAAATTACACGTATCGATACCAAAACCTTATAGAGAAATTTAAACACGGAAAGTATTACTCCCATTACAAATCAAAACATTCCAGACCAAAGACAATGCTAAATCAGGCTCAAAAGAAACACACAACCTTTCAAATCCTAACCCTGCTCCTAAATTTTTTCAGGCAGCCCCGACCATTATAGCCCCGACGATTATATATATGCTAATCTGATGTATACCTACATCATATTATGCCTGTAATTTCCTACCAATCTGTGCCATTCTTCTTAGTATACCTACAAATCGAAAGACGTAGCTGGAATGGCATAAGTTTTTATATCTATTGGCTTTATCTTCTCCTTGCTAAGAGAAGAAGTCGAGTAGAATTAAATGGAGTATTGGAATTTGGAAGCAAGCAACATAATTTGCATAAACCAATTAAGAGAATAAAAAGATATGATGTACTAAGAAGGATTTATAAAGAGGAACACTTTGTTCAAAATAAGATTTTACATGTTTGGTACACAGGATTGGATTGTACGACTGAAAATTTTTGCATGTCCAGTCCAATGTACGAAAAGGCCCTCAACATTTGTTGCGTAATAGCCAAGTTAATTTTATTTCAGACAACTAATTTCTTACTATATTTGCGTTTAGTTAAATAGCTCTACTAATTAGGCTTAGTTATATGAAGATGTTTGCAAGCATATAGATTATTAAGAAGAAAGATAAAGAAAAGCGGAAAATGAAATTCCTACACTTCAGATTAACAAATAGAAATCTATAATGAAATATCAGCAAATGCTACTCAGTCAAATAATGAAGTTGGATTCTTAATAGAAAAGGAAAGTGCTTACCTGCAGCTGCAAGTAGGCGCCCTAACTCCCAAATCACGAAACCACCTCAACCCAAAAGGAAAAGGAAAAAATAAAGAAAAATTGTGGAAAAGGCCAACCAATTTAATCACTTATTGTTTATTTCTAATATTTTTCTTCCAGAATTGTGAAGAGATAGCTCGTGAAATACGGATGAACAAATATTAGTCTAAAATAATGTAAGCAAACTCTCTGGTCTTTTGTCAAACAAGAATGATGTATGAGTTGAACAAGATATCAGCAATCAATGCCATTGTTTAGGATAGTCAGTCACCTTTAACTATCTCCTTCCACTTTTCAAATAGTCCATTCTAATTCCCCACAACTGCTCCCCCACTGATTTCATGTCTGGACGATCTGCTCGAGTAGGCGCTGCACACTGGATAGCCAAACCAAACATTTTCTCCAGTATCTCCTCGTCTACCATTTCATTCATCGAAGGATCTAACATCTCCATATATTTTCCTTCATTATACTTTCTAAAAGCCTGCACAAACATAATTCAGTATAATGAGTTACGTGAACAAGCAGTTCTTCTAGTGGAGGGAAATGGCTAAACAGCACCCATCCAATGAGCTTTCAGATGGAGCATGCAATTACCTTATTATGAATGTATGCACCTATCCTCTTTAAAAGGTTAAAGTTTGTGGATAAGGTGGTTCAACATCTTAGAATAGTCCAAAGGTGTCCTGGATGCCAAACTTACCATCACCTATTTTTTGAAAATTACAATGTCTAGCCCTTAGACTAAAAAAAAAAAAAAGGAAAATCCATTGTGCACGAGTTATGTAAAAGTGAAGAATTATTGTGTATGCTATTTAATAAACATGGTAGTGAACCCTTGTACAACGAAAATTATGGGGCAGACAAGTTGCATAAGGGGGGAGATACCCCTGCCACATTCAGGCACCGCCATAGCAGGGAAGAAGCTATAACCACCAAAAGAAGTATACAAGCGTAATTCTGACCAATCCAGTTTCAACAGAAATCAAAAGGAAAAAAAAATACAGTAAATTGCACTTCTGATTACAGGCTAATTTATGGTTAAGAGTGAAAGGTTGTCTAATGAGGTATACTACAAAGTACTTTTGAAACTATTTTAGTGAGAACTCCTGTAAAGCACCTGTTGCAAAATTTGGGTCGCCTTAATAACAGCTCAAACAATATTATGATTACAACCTATGATAATTCCGCACCCACATTGGCACAAGTAAATTCACTGCTCATTAATCAGAATACAGTTGACAGTCTGACTACCTTGATACTTGCTTCGTGCTCATGAATGTAATTTCCTTCTTTCTGTCCCTTTTTCCCTATATTTATGCTTTTCTGTTACCTTTTCATCAGTAGAAACTTTTTTTGGTTCCCCAACCAATTTATTCTAAGAACTAATGTCTACTCCATAAGTAGCAAGCATTCTATCCTATGGACTAGGACCTTCATGACAACTAGGACAAAGACTTGATAGAGAATGATGCAGATAGATAAGCCCATCTTCCTAGCACTACTAAGTTCAGATAGAAACTTCTAACTAAATCTGCTTCAGACAGCTCTACAACTAAGAGACACATTGTTAATGACTTTTGAGGGATATGCTTACCAATTATTGTTGGATGATGTTGAGTAGCCCATATTTTTTACGTGTTGGGTATTTCATAACTGTATTAAGTCAGCCCTAATATTCCAGCGACATAAAGAATTTTTATGTGGCTTTTTTCTGTGGGAAAAAGACTAGAGGCGTGAGATCATCATTGTGAACTTCTTCTTCATATTGAAAACCTAGGTCTGATTCTATCTCTGTTCCTTCCGTTGAAAGAAAGGAAGGATCCCAAAGAATCAATACGAGTAGACATAGCTCTCACATTAAAAGTGAATCACTATAAACATGTCTGCACTTTGCTTGTTTTCATTTATTGCTCTCGTAAATAGGAAATAGGAGTGTAGGACTCAATTCTTATCAATTACCCAAAAGATACCTCCCATGAAGTTAAATATCATTACTAGAAAAATAATAAAGTCTTGTCCAGATCATGATCTCCTCTTACACGAGTATTACATGACTGCTAAAGCAAATAACTTTGTTAAGTACAAAAAAGGGAAAAACTTACCCATCTAATTGTCACCCTCTCATCATGTGATCTCTTCAATTCCACAGGTCTACGACCAGTTAAAATTTCTAATAGCAAAACCCCAAATGAGAAAACATCGCTTTTGGGTGTGAGCTGGTATGTCTTCATATACTCGGGATCAAGGTAACCAACTGTGCCCTTTACTTTGGTTGAAATGTGTGTTTTGTCAGAGTCATCTCCTAGCCTCGCAAATCCAAAATCTGCAACTTTGGCTCTCATGCTCTCGGTCAATAATATATTGGATGACTTCACATCTCTATGGATAATTTGCTTCTCTGCAATTAAAGTAAAAAAAAAAAAAAAAAAGTCATGAACCTCCAGGATAAGAACAGAGATAAGCATATTAAATATAGGCTAAGCCACAAGAAGATTTTAACACATATATACCAGTAAGTGAAAATAGCACCATGAAATTCAATCTTAGTTTATCCTATTTAGATATCAGTAACGTGCGTCATCTGAAATCAGGGAGCAAATTCATGACTAATTCCTGCTGTTGGGGATCATGGACCGTACAGTAAAGGATCAGACTGTTTCAGTTTCATGGTTGTAGAAGTCACATTTCCTGTATTCTCTAAATAATGACGACAAAATCAACTCAGAGGAAAGTGTTCTTACCTGCATATAGATGGAGATAGGTCAGGCCGTGAGCAACATCAATGGAGATTTCAAGTCGCTGATTGAAATCCAATATCTTTTCTTTCTGACCTACCATTAACATCAGCAAAAATACTGCATTTATACTAATCCACGAGACTGCAACGCTGGTAATGTCTGAGTTTAAAAGCTTTACCATCTAGATGTTCTCTAAGTGTACCACCTGGCACATACTCAGTAATAATCAGGCGTTCATTTCCTTTTTCAACATAGCCAAGCAGCTTGACTAGATTTCTATGATCAATTTTTGACAGAAGTTCAACTTCTCTTCTAAATTCAGTTTGTAAGGCTTCAAAATATTCCTGCATTTATTTTCCCAAATTAGCTAAGACCATAAATAGAAATTAGCACATTCAAGTTCGTAGCGAGAAACGCGTGTGTTTTTTGTTTGACACCTATTTCTGGTATTTTTCAAGAAGCCTCTCTTATGAATGGAGTGACTAAAAGTTGCTTCAAATTTTCAAAATATAATCATAGAAGACTGTCACCTAAAGAAAATAAATAATATTTGAAATAGTTACAAAATGAATTTACTAGTGAAGCATGTTGGACTTTCTACAATGACATTCACGGCCTTCTGTGTTTCTACCATCAATATCAACATATGACTTTGTTTGCATGGCAGGATAATGTCTTGCTTGCCTTCGAACACAATGTTTTTTTATGCAATTATTGATGTCCCTAAGAGTATCTCCAAAAGACTATTTTTAAAAGCATATTTAGCAATTTAGTGAGCACCTATAAATTTAGAGAGTAAAATTTTTTAAATACTTCAACATGCTCTTTATCTTTAACAATTAATTTTATCATTCCCCCCAAAAATATTTGTTGTTTTTCTCTATGTTTTATTTTCATTAGTTTCACTTCAAATTATTCTATTATTTTCCTCCAAAAAAAATTGAAATTCTTTGAATGCATTTAATTATAGAAAATGGGTTTAGAGAGCCAAACTCACTCTCTTTTTTAAAATGTTAATTTGAAGCCTTTTGGAGTATAATTTAAAGGATTGACTCTTTAAAATATAGAGGATTTTATGTTTAAAAAGTCTCTTGGAGATGCTTGAAACTTCTAATGACGAAGCAACAAACTTGAGGTTCAGAAAAAGAACAAGAGCTATACCTTCCTAGCTCGTTTAATGGCGACTACCTTGCCATCTGGTAACTCAGCCCTGTAGACAGTCCCAAACCCTCCTTCACCAATTAGTAGTGATGACGAGAAATTGTGTGTCGCTCTGGCAACTTGGCTCATATCAAGATGAACAGATCCAATCCTATCAAGTTTTGGTGACATGGAAAATCTTGAAGGACTGGGTGGCATTCTTAGTGGACTAGCCATAATCTTTTCAGACACAGAATTCATTTCTAAAGATGAAACTGAATCCACTGCAAGAATAGTGCAATAGTGTGTAAGTATGCAGATAAAAATTAATTGAGCGAATTGCATGAATACCTATATATATATATATATATGTTCTAATTCTTCCATACTGACTATCCATAAGCATGACTAAACAAGAAGTCTTGAGCCATTGAAATTATCCTTATAACGGAGATGAAATTTACCTTAAATTATTTCTTTTAAACATGGAATTGACTTTTATTCAGAAGTCTATGCATGCAACACATCTATAGCAGATGAGACACTCATGATTGTGTCTAGATTTTACAAAACATAGTATAAAATCCATCATTCATAATTATTATTTTATACATCGAATTCCCAAATATTTTGAATTTTTAAGAACCAACTCCATTCCACATGCCATAGTTAATAGTATTAGTGATGAGAGATATTTCTAATAGATTATAGTTTGCATCTGCACATGTTACCCATAATATGGTTAGCAATATAAATTTTCAGCACATTTACTTCATTTCATGGAATATGTGGGGGCCAAACATTATAAACACATAGTTACTACACTTCAAACTATTTTAATTGCATCTTTTGGTGTCTCGTTGCAGATATATTTGATAATTTTCAACATTTATATATTCTTTTGTTAAGTCCAAGATAATTACTTTTCTGCTTCAAGTCTTAGGTTACAAGTAGAATTGTATATTTTGGAGAGAGGGAGGATGATTTTCATCAACATTAATATGTTCTTTTGTTAAGTCCAAGATAATTACTTTTCTGCTTCAAGTCTTAGGTTACAAGTAGAATTGTATATTTTGGAGAGAGGGAGGATGATTTTCATCAACATTAATATGTTCTTTTGTTAAGTCCAAGATAATTACTTTTCTGCTTCAAGTCTTAGGTTACAAGTAGAATTGTATATTTTGGAGAGAGGGAGGATGATTTTCATCAACATTAATATGTTCTTTGTTAAGTCCAAGATAATTAATTTTCTGTTCCCAAGTCCTCGGTTACATGTAGAATTGTATAAATCAAAAGCATGGTTCTGTTTTAAGCTATAATGACCAAGACTCTAATCAAACTAAATCCCGAAAAACTTTCACGTGTATCAACTAAAACATATATTTATTGATTTATGTCCTTTTATACCACATATGGATTCAAAATGATTATCAATAGTTTTTTCTGTTGGCCAATATTATTTGTTATAAGAGGGTCGACTCTACACAAACACCAATAAACACTAGAAGAATGAAAATGATTTCACTCACTTGAATTTGGCTCCTTGGGGAGAACAGTATGACCAATTCCTTTCTTCCTCGCTTGAAAGCATGGGCAAATTAATGCGCAACATAAAACAAAGAAAGCTGGTATCGCCATGGCCAACCTTTGGGGGGTTAATAGAGAGTTCTTAGCATGTTTATCCTTTGTCTTCTGAAATATTTTATTGTAATCATGTCCTGTAGATCCTTCTCTAACCACTGGTCTTAAAAATTTTCTTCCCGGCCCCAAAGGCCACTCATCTGTGACAGAACAGAAAGATGCAGTATTTCGTAAATTATTGAAAGCTTTTTTCTAGGGATCATCATACAAATTGATTGAGATGGAAAGCAAATATCTATATAAATTTGATGGAGCATACCTAACGAGAAACCCAACCCACAGTATCGAGTTCTGACATTTCCCGTAATGAAGCAATGATTTGCAAGATTTATTCTGATAGCATTACAGAAGAAGTATTTGTCCACCAATGTTCCATCTATGTAAAACAGTTCCTGACTCGAATCGTACAAGGCGCTTATATGGTATGTTACACAAGCCTTCCTATGCTCCCACGACCCAGAAGCAGATATTATTGGCGATTGCACCACCAATACTAGACTTAACAAAACTAATGCCATTTTATAGCAGCACCGCAAAAAGATTCATCCTTGAAAGGCCAAAAGGTAACTGAAACATGTTCAATAGTGAAACTTCGGTTGAATCAAAGGAACGTAGCCCAAGTTCAATTTACCAAAAAAGGAAATTGATTATCAGTTCAAAGTTCCCAAGTACCCCGCGTTGAGGAAAATCAATTTCCAACAATCACCTGCCAAGTTGAAGTCACTAGTATACAAACTCGAACTTGACAAAGCAAATAGACACAGTTGGCACTTCAAAATTCCATAATCACTATCATTTCAAATCAGCCTACTCAATTTCGACTACTTCAAAGTTACATAGAAAACCACAATACTCCAAGATGAAAAAAATAAAATATGTCAATGCAGTTATTTCGAGAAAAATGATTTTGAACCCAAGAACACGGAGAAAATCCCCGGTAGGAACTGAATTTTTAGGGTACCCATTCAACAAGTCCAGTTTTCGAACAACCCAAAAAAATAATAAAATAAAATAAAATCGACACATCAATCTCAGGTTTCTATTAAAACTCTTGAATTCAAGTAGCAGACTACCGAAAAAACACATAAAGGTTCAGAAAATACAGAATTAATCAACCTGCCAACTTCACCAAAGCTGAGAATTCAAATTATAAACCAAAAATGATTCAACTACATACCAATACAGCCCAGGTTATAAATTACACACTAAAGTAAACTAAAACTGAATTACAAGCTCACGTCAGAGTTAAAATGCTAGCAATAAACCCAAAACAGAATACCATCTACTGATCAATAAATCATTTATTGTAGTCAACAATCTAACCTGAATAAAGGCGGCTGCTTTATCGAACAAGAGAGCGCATAGAGACGTAAACTTTGGTATATTGTTATACTGTGTGCATACTGATTGTTACATTAACAAAGAAAGAGTCAAAGTGACATTCACAGGGACCGGCCAGAAATATTATATTGATCGAGTGCTGGAAATCAATCAATTATTGACCATTTTATAGAAATTTCTATTTCATCATACTTTAATTAAATGACTTTTTATGTTAAGACATAATTATTTATTAATTTAAGTAATTGTCATATTAAAATATCACTTTCTTTATAATTTTAGCCCTTATTTGTTTTTTCCAATTTTATAATAGATCGTATTGACTTGGAAAATGGAAAGATTTGTACAAGTTATACGTTTCGTCATTATTTTGTGGAAAATAGTTAGGTATGAATAATAGCTTTATCCCACATACGGTCTTAATAGTTACATTAAATCACGTTGATTGAAGATGAGTTAACGCGGCGTTCAGAACATCATTAGTTGTATTTATATAATATTGTTATAAATGTTAAAAAATTTAATTATAATACAGAACCGAACCCGAACGGGTCCATAATTATATTTGGACCAAACGGTTCTATTTACTAGATACCCGAAAAATTTGGTTCGGTTCGGTTCTCTTTAGAACCGAACCGAACCGCGCTCACCCCTAGATGAGGGTAGGATCTTTCCTTCCTTGAGGCAGCGTAGATGCTCATGGTGCGGCATACTTGTTTACAATCAATCCCATGGTCAAAGAAAGGAAGTTGACTGATGCTACTCCATCTTCCGCCTAGCCTATTCTGCCCACCACTCACCTAGAAATATTCGTCAAGAAAGTGCCATCCAACGAGGGAAAAGTAGTACTAGAAGAGTTGAATAACGATAAAGAAGTGGTTGCTTGTTGTCAAGAAGAGGACCTAAATGCTAGCTCTATCCCGTCACACCGGACTGCCTAGAGATCAATGCTTTCTCATCTGGAGTCATGATCAAAGCATTAGTTGCTTCCACTTGTGGTCTTCTTCGACTGCCTTGACACCTTAATATCAAGGAATCCTACCTCTTCCACAAGTACGTAGAGACTAGGTGGGTCGAAAACCCCAATGGGAAACCTTTCACCGCGCCACACGATTCTTTCGCGAAGCGTTCTCTCAGACGTTTCCACTCCTACCCCCCAAGCAAAGAGGTTTAATCCCAACCTCATCTTGGCAAGAATAAGCTGCTAGAATCAGTTGCTATTAAAGAGAATTGGTTGCAGCAATTATCCCACAAAAAACGAAATGCCGAGCGACAAAAGAGATAGCTGGATCAGAGTGGGAGTTCGCCTAGCTAGTGTAAGCTACAACTGCTTTAGCAGAGTTGCTGCTAGTCAAGGAAGAGAAGGGCTTGTTTGCAGGACAAATGGAACAGACGGTAGCTGTTGGGAAATACACCGATTATGTACATATTATATTCACAAAAGCATACCGTTTATTTTGCGTGAAATCGAAACGTAATTTCGACTTACCGAAATAGAATTTGAAAAGTAAAACAATAATAGTTACCAAATCCGAATGTATGAATATAGATTCATCTCTTTCGATTCTTGAACGAAAGCAAGTTATTATTTGAATCAAATCTCGTAGAACAAACATGTAAATAATGTTAATCAATTTATAAAATCAAACCATAATTAAGAGAAATCAGAAAATGAATGAAGAAAGATGCAAATGATGAATTTTTGATCGAGCCAAGTGTTTTGACACTTGGTCGTTAAGATAAATTTGCCCTACATCGATGCTAACGATTTTCCAACAATCATCTCCCAAGATATAATGACCACGTCATGCCATAGGAACACTCCAAATGATTTCGACCAGCGAAATTGAATAAAATTTCTTCTCTACCATAAACATGACTTTGATGCAAGACATAATTATTTCTACAAAGTATTTTAAGTAATTTGACATGAAATGAATAATATTGAATTATGGAATGAATTGAAATTCCTGAATTATTAAATCCAAACATATGGTGTCAATATATAAATGTTGAAAAGGTTTGTCTCAAAAGACACAACCTATGGAAAAAATACAACTATTGGAATTAATATCTATATTTAAAGACGTCTCTTAAAAAATGATAATGTCAAAAGTCATATTCTTTCATATAAAAAGACACATTCTCAGCCAAATAATTTCTAGAATATTCCATAATATTCTACACACTTCTCCAATAATTCACGTATTTAAGTGATTTAAATTTGGCTTAATTTTCCATTTACCAAATAATACAAAATTTCCAGCAAAATTCCAACAATCCTCCACATGAATGAAAATTAATGCAAAATCTATGCAAACACTAGTAGATAGAGCGGAAAAACTCTGCGCTTTTGGACTTAAACGTCCCTTAATGAAATATCATCGGACTTATTCAGCTAATTGGTGAACATGATGTCTTGAACCATTTAGCCTTTAGTGTAAGCCAAGACAACGATACTCACACAATATCTTCCCTAAATCGTTCATGGTTCTCATGACTTGGTTCACTTTGACCCTAATCCCTTCTTGGTTCTGCAAGTATTTAGAAAATTTAAGCCTTAAATAATTCTCATTGAAGCGGCCCCACTTCATACTCATACAGGTGACCTCCTATTAAGAGTATTTTGGCCTACTCCACTTGACTTATTCAAGATATAGGAATCATTAAAAGATTATCTTAACCTCTTACAACTCTACAGAAAGCACTTCAATATCATAGGACTGAGTTAGGAAATTATTTTTTTTAGTGCTTCATGAAATCCTTATAACTTAGTTGTCCCTTTGAACTAAAATCTTGGGATCTCCAGTCAACAAAGTAGGATTACCATTACAAGGACTCTAACATAGTAGGCTTCATTCTCATTCCTTTCGATATGCGGTATACTTAATCTCTCGGTAAATATCTTAAAGGTACCACGAATTTACACTACTGAGATTATCTGCTTAATGGTATTATGTCTATGACTTATATGTCTAGACCTACCATTACATGTGACTTAGTATCTTATCAAATATTGCTAGACAATGATCGATTAATTTGATAGATACAAATTGTCACCACCAGGAAATCCTCTCATGAAGCTATATGCCTCATTAGCTTTATCAATTTCCATTCACGGTTGGAGGATTTCTATCAAACACTATACTAGTCAATTATTTTTAATAGTGAATTTCAGAATCATGGATATTTAATATCATCATTGAAACATTACCATGCATTTGAACTTTATGAATATTTTTCATATATTCCAATTGTTTTTGCATGTCTAAACAAACGCCATAATCGGTTTTACAATCCATTTCGTCCACTTTAGACTTAGTATATATATCATCCTTATAATTAGTATAAGGGTTTTCTATCTTTTCACTTTCATAGATGTCGTTCTGTGATTATAAGATAGAAGCAAACGTAACTGTTAAATTGAGTTACCCCCACAATTTCTCAATTAGGAATACATGTGCAAATGTGCAATCTAGTAATGTTGCGTCAATAAATTTTGAAATTTCCATTTCAAGTTCACAAGCATTAAGTTTAACCCCCCAGATTCTTAGGTTATACTTGAACTTAGAGTTTATCAACTCTTTCATAGTTCAATTCATAATATCCGTATCGAGTACTTTGTGAAAGTTTATATACTTTAAAAGTAGTGGTCGTTAACTTGCATATAACTTACTTCAATCTAATTAATTTTGATCATCCAAATTAAATCAAGGTCATCACATAGACCAACAATGCTTTTAAAATATATACCAATTTAATTGATTTCATGATTGAAGTCAAATTCAATAATAAAGAGGGCTAAGCATTGCAACTTCTTCAAACATATGCAACTTATCACATTTGTGAAATTTCACATGATAGTTTCATTTTAACCATCTGTTGAAAAGTTATGTTCTCAAAAGATATAATCCTATAAAAGGACACACCTCTTGGATTAATCTCTATGAAGAGACACGCCCATTGAAAAATAATTATATCAAAAGTCATGATTTTTCATATGAAATGATGCACCATTTCATCTGAATTGATCGTAGAATATTTCATGATATTCTACACAATATTCTACAATTTCAAATAATTAAGTGGCTTAATTCTCATTACTAAATAATGATATTCACTTAAATCATCTCACTTAATTTATCAAATTAATTGAGGCAATCATCATAGTCAAAGTTATTATAACTTTAATAAGATGTGAAATTTTAACCAACTAATTTATCATGCCATTATCTTATTCCAATCAAAGGAATCGTCATGAAAGTTCATATACTTTCATCAAATAATTGGCATCCTTATATGTCCAATGGTTAGGAATATTTTCCTTATTTCCATCCATTCATTATTGGACTCGAGTTGCTTTTAACAATATCCAATTCATCCTGGCCAAAGTGAAGGAATAACAACTTATATTCCAAACATTTATACATCCATTGTATAAATTTATTCCATTTATAGGAATGTTCACTTCCATATCATGAGAGATGTTGCAATCTCACATAGAAAAAAATGATCACTCACAAATTTCCAAAATGGACATTGTACAGAAACATCATATTTTTTGAGGTTAGCAGGAAAATTTCACATACTAGAATGTTCAAAGTATGGCAGAATATATCAAGCGTAAATCCATTGGTTCAAATTATAGCAACATATGCATTTAATTATAGTCACACATGCCATTTGTCTTTTTAAATATTTATAGTCACACGTGCTATCTGTTTTTCCAAATATTTTCGTGAAGAAATTTGCACATGCTTAAGGAAAAATGTATATGCAAAGATGAATGAAACTCTATAATTACAGTTATTTTCAAACGTCTCTATTCGTGTTTTCCCATAATATTGGGTTCTCATGCATGCACTGGTTCGAGTTTTCTTTTAGTTTTATGATACAAATATAGCAGAATTTCAAATATATGGTTGACATATTTGAAACAGAATATACAATGCACAACGAACACAAGTTCATCTTAAGATTGTTAGAGAATACACCGATTATGTGTATATTATATTCACAAAAGCATACCGTTTATTTGCGTGAAATCGAAACGTAATTTCGACTTATCGAAATAGAATTTGAGAAGCAAAGCAATAATAGTAACCGAATCTGAATGCACGAATATGGATTCATCTCTTTCGATTCTTGA